TTTGTCGAAATAAATAAAAAAAAAAAAAAAAAAAAAATGAAAAACACACACACACGCGCAAAGATTGTCAGGTTTGAAATTTAAGTGAGATAATTGAATCGACGCAGCATGTACGTCAGTAGTAGCGAACGTGTTAATCGTACGAATTCGGGAAAATTTTGAACCGTGGACGTTTTTTTTAACAACATTGGTAATACGGTTGATGCGTACAACAGAGGATTGTAAATGAATATGTTCATAATTTCTCGAGAGCTTCGCTATAAGAAGATATTATTATCTACACGGAACGACAATGTAAGAAAGGTTAGATTTAACTAACGAATAATTTCTGACAAGAAATTAGAAAAAAATGAAAGATAGTAAAATGGGATATCTGTTATCTTGCCAACTCTAAATATTTATCGTCGATTTGTTGCTTTTGGAAATTTATCTCGTTTCGCGGCCGTAAAGTCAAGCAACAAGTATTTATAATATTTGGTCTCGAAAGAAAGCAAATGCTTCCAAAAGTAGCAGCAATTTTGCAGATGTGTTTATTTGTTACGAACTCGTTCGTAATAAAGTTGGATTTCTATCGCCAACTGTAAATAATCCGTTCCAAGCTTCGAGAAATGTACGAACAAAGAGCATGAATTCTACAGACGCAAATTTTCCAAGGGTTATACGTACATAAGAAAAATATTAAAATTTCCAGACCGTTCGGATGGTGTTAAAACTGTACGAAAGCTGAACCACCAACTTTAAGAGTATATTAAAATATTAGAAATATTATTACTATTGTCTGCTACTCTATGAAAATTTCCAAACACCTAGTTACAAATCACGATGCCAATCTATCAAGCCAACGTGCCACTCTGATTAAACAAACAGCGGAAAGATGGAGGCGAAGATCCGCGAATATCGCGCGGCTTAGACAAAGTTCTGGGATTCTCTGCAGTTTCCACTCAGGCTGACGACGACGAAGGAGAACCTCGCGATGTGAAACAATAATCTCTGGACGTGGTTTTCCCACGCAGTTAGTCGCCACAGGGAATTGGGATTCTCGGAGAGCCACACGCGAGTTTATTTGCGGTGGCGGAAGACGCGCCACGAGACCGGAAGTAGGCCGCCACTTACATCGGCCATTTGACTTTCGTATTTTCCTCTCTTCGAAAAAAAGAAAAAATCGTCTCAGGTCAAATGCAGTCGTTCGATGTTTTATTCATCCAGCTCTGTTTCGATGTGCGGAGTGTAGAGAACATATTGGGAGAATCAGATTAACATTGTCTTTCACGACGCAGCAAATTATCTCTGAAATTCGCATTGAAATCGAGTCCCATCGAGCTCATCGACGTGCAATGAGAAATATAAAGACTATAACTATAATAATGTGTAAGAACATAGTCTGACGATATGTAGAAAAATATTGCACGTAAGAATGTAACAAGAAATACAAAAAGTAAAATATAATGAGGAATATATAAGGATATGAAAGCATTGAAATAAAAGTTAATTGTAAGATATATAAAGAGTTGGGAAATATATTTATTTATCTGCGTTGATTATTCTTCTAATTGACGTAACTGGAATATACTCGATCTCTTGGCAAATGGTTGATTCATCGTTTTGTTAAAGCTTATCAGATGTAAGTGAGAAAATTCTAAATAATTGAAATTACTTGGAAAACAGACGAATCGTCGTTGGAAAAATGAACTTGTGATGACTCACGAACGTCGGGATGAAATAATTAAGCGGAAAACGAGCAATAATTGGGAAGAAAATTATCTGTCTGTCCTCGTAGCGTAACATTTCGTGATATCGCCTAGCGTGTTCCATTATGCGTGCACAGTGTCACGTACACCCATGATTCAACCTAGTCTCGTCGATTTAGCGTAGGAAAAGTCGTACCGCTTACTACTTTCTACAATGTAATTCGTCACCTAATAAAATAATGAAATATCGAACAGTTAGAATATATATAAATATAGTAATTTCCTTTGGAAGCATTTTTGCCGAAGTTACGGGATTTTCTGAAATACAGAATCTTCTAGTTCGAATGTCAAAATATTAAAATACGAAGCTGTGCGAATTTTAAGATTCGTATTTATCCTTCAAAGAATAATATCGCTGCTTCTATTTCTTTGAACAACAAAACTTCATACCTGTGCTTTTCAATCAAAAATATTCCAAATCCGAGGAACTCGTCTGCAGTCAGTTTCTCGTTTTTCGCTTCTCCTTCTGAGGAAAGAAGAAAACACGCCTACTGACGAACCTGTCTCGGAGAGAAGAGACGACAAATTGGTCGAATTTGGTGGTTCGAAATAGACGGCCCGTTTCGTCGAAGCCACCGGTTGACTCACGTCGGATTAGCAACGCGGTGGACCAACGAATTTGACTGTTCGTGGAGCTTAGGTAGATTCGTGGCCGATGATATCAGTGGCCAGGAAAAGTGGCCACTCAGTTTATCGGAATCGAGGTCGTTTCGTTCGAATCTGTAAAAT